TCAGAGCGGTTAAGTGACCAACTCAAAGTCACACAGCTAGTAAGTGGTAGAGCTGAGAGTCAAACCAAGTAGGCTGGCTCCAGAGCCCTGGCTCCTAACTGCATTTTCCAGGTAGTTCCTCCTTCTAGGTCTCAGTTTTCCCAACTGTAAATTAACAGAATTGGTATCCTCGAACTCCAAAGACCCTTCCAGCTCTAACAACCTGTGCTTTATTCAACAGTCACTCGGCTGGGCGAGGTGGCTGAAGCCTGTAATCCCAGCTACTTGGGAGGCTGAGGCAGGAGAATTGCCTGAACCCAGGAGGTGGAGGTTGAGGTGAGCCGAGATCGTGCCATTGCACTCCAGTCTGGGTAACAAGAGTGAAACTCCGTCTAAAAAAAAAACAACAGTCACTCTATTGCCAGACCCTGAACTGGGAATAGAAAGATAAAGAAAGCTTCATCTCTGTCCTCAGGTTAGAAACTTCTTCAAAGTAGAAATCACATCTTAATTATCCTTGCTGGCCCCACCCCACTCACCCCAGTAATGTGTAAAGAGAAGGTGCTCAAATTATTCGTTGACTAGATGGACACCTGATTCATGGGGAGTCAGATCTAACTGGGGACCTTGTCCTGTCACTACCCTTGCAAAAGAAAGTCACTCAACCTCTGAGTCTGTTTCTTCATCTACAGAGTGGAAATACACAATAGTACTTTGCCTACAGGACTATGGAGAGGAGAATGCATGTTAGGCCCTTAGTGCAGTGCTTGGCACACACACACACACATGCACACACATGCGCACACGCATGTGCACGCACACACACACACTCTCACACAAAAGCCAGGCATGGTAGCTCATGCCTGTAATCCCAGGACTTTGGGAGGTCAAGGTGGGCAGATTACATGAGCTCTGGAGTTCGAGACCAGCCTGGGCAACATGGCAAAACCCTGTCTCTTCTAAAATACAAAAAATTATCCAGACGTGGTGGTGTGTGTATGCAATCCCAGCTACTCAGGAGGCTGAGGCACGAGAATCACTTGAACCTGGGAGGCAGAAATTGCAGTGAGCCAAGATCACACCACTGCACTTCAGCCTAGAGTGCTGTGGCAACACAGTGAGACTCTGTCTCAAAACAAAAACAAACAACAACAAAAAAACTTCACCCTATCACTAGCTAGTGAGGGGTTTGCCATACCCCTCTTTGTTGTCCCCAGGTAAAAGCTATGAACCTGTTTCCAATGGCTGGGAGCAAATAGAAACGATGCTCAGCCAGGTCCTGAGTGATGAGGAAGAAAAAAAAGAGCGAGAAGCCAGGGCTTCCCATTCCCTGAGAAGCCCTCCCCAGTATCCTGATTCCCATGCAGTCCCTGTTCCTCCCTTCTGTCTAGACAGCTCTCCCCTGAAGAAACTGCAAACCACAGACTGTCTAATGACAAAGCTTGTCCCAGACACTAGTCCCCAGACACACGATTCATTTAACACTCTTTAGAAAAGAGCAAGTCTGACTCCCACCTCTGAAGCAGAGGGGGACTCTATGAGCATAGGAGTGACTGGGAGGTTTCTTCTTTCATTAATTTATCCATCCATCCATCCATCAACCCACCCACCCCCCACCCACCCATCTATTCATCCTTGGTTGAATGCTAACAACGTACCAGATTCTAGGCACTGGGGATACCTGGGTAAATAAGACAAAAGCTGGCCTCTAGAAACTCATAATCTTGGGGGAGGTGAACACAACATCATTGTAAAAATCCCAACTATAATTAGAGTCATAGGGAATATTCCTGAAGAGCTTCCTGTGTGCCAAGTACTGTGCTGTGTTCTTCAGATGCAGGATTTCCATTTGGCCCTCATCATAACCCCATGAGATAGGAATGCTTAACTGTGATCATTTTACAGATGAGCAGACTCAGGCTCGCAGAATCTAGATAGCTTGCCCAGGGTTGCACAGCTATTAAACAGGAAAATAGAGATTCAAACCCAGTCTGATCACTGGGTTTATACTTTTTTTCCTCCAAAAGTGTCAAGTTTATTCAATGATGAGTAACTTGAAATACATTATTTCTATTAAATATTGATAGAATAAAATGAAAAATTTTACAGATTTTAAAAACAAAAATGATATTTCAAAATAATTCTACATTTTTAGTGAGCCACTGTGTTTCATATACACAAGTTCCTAGAGTTTTGTGCTTTTCCCTGACTTTGGAGTACTGCAGTACAAATTTTTGAGATGCATATATAGGGTAAAAACTGAGAAAACCAAAAATTTCAAAGAAATATATTGGGTATAATTTAAGAGGAATCTTGGGCAATTGAAAGGAAAAATATTGTATATTAAGGTTCAGGGCATCAGGAATTACCAATGTGTCCTGTCTAATCATGTCATTCCCTCACTCAAAGCCCTTCCCTGGCTCCCATCACTCTAAGGATAAAGTTCAGCTCCTTTTTCTGGCATTCAAGGTTCTTCATATGCTGGCCCCTTCTCCTCCTCCAGCTTCATCTCAACCACTCTCCACAACTCTAGTAATACCTAAAGACTTGCAGTGGCTGTAACCGAGTTTTCTTTAGCCTCTGTGCCTTTGCACAAGTATTCCTTCTGCCAGGGAACTTTTCTTCTTCCCTTGCTCTTTCTGTGCTCAGATGCCTCCCACTCGTCCTTCAAGACTCAGCACAGGGGTGCCCTTTCCAGCTGCTTCCTGACTGCCCACCTCCCAGGCGCTCTGCTCTGAGGCTCTAGGGCTGCCTGCTACCTCCCTCCTGGTCTTCCCCACTGTGCTGTGCTTAACTGTGCGTGGGTTTTCCCTTGTGGACTGTGAGCTCCCTGAGGGCAGGGACTGTGCTTAACATCCACGGGCCCCAGGTAGGGGTTCAGAAGCTGAAGTGAACCCTCTCCAGCAGCCCCAGTCTTTTCCTTCAGCCAGCTTTCCAATGTCATTCACCATCTTCAGCTGCTTGTATTGTTCAATGTTGTCAGCAGATGTTTTGTTAGAAGGCGCTGAGATGCTGTACAAGGTTTGCCCTGACCAGGGCAGCTTCTGGGGCTGTCAGGGTCTTTTTATTGAGGACACACATCCAGGATGTGTCTATATTTACTCTGCCCAGATTTTTGAACTGTGAGATCTCAGACTAGGACCCCAACAGCAGCTGCGACTGCTTCGGCTGTGTAGACAGGACCCTTTCCTCCTTCATGACTTCAACCTGGGGCATAAGCTGCAGTGCCTATTTTGGGAAATGCCTACATTTGGCATTGCTCAAGCTTCCTATTTCCTATTTGGGAAAAGAGCCCAGGGACTGAGCAGAGAGGACGCCAAGGCGTGGTTGCCGATAACTCCTATTTGCCAGTGATTTATTTGCCTGGGATTTGCGCTAACACGAAAAGAACGTTTGCATTATTAATGATCATTGATCACAGCCTTTCGAAAAAGAGAGCGATTGAGAGAGATGGAGGCTCCAGGCCAACCATCAAATGGTAAACCAAGAGGGTGGGGTGCGAAGAAAGGAGAGGAGGACTAAGTTGGTAGAGCGTTATGCAGAGACGGAAGGACACAGAAGGACACAGAAGGACACAGGATAGAAAGACTGGATGAGCTGCTGAGTTTTGGGTGCGCCAGATGTCCAACAGCTGTGTGGGCTGCAAATAAACCAGTGCCGGTGGGTGCTGCTGGCCTCTCCCTACACCTAGCGAAGGAGACTTCAAGACAAAGAATGTTACCAGGGCCAGAGGGTCATTTCATAATGATAGAAGGGTTAATTCATTAAGAAGAAATAAAAGGGTTGGCTGCGGTGGCTTATGCCTGTAATCCAGCACTTTGGGAGGCTGAGGCAGGAGGATCACTTGAGTCCAGGAGTAGTTTGAAACCAGCCTGAACAATATAGCAAGACCTTGTCTCTAAAAAAAAAAAAAAAAAAAAAAAAAAAAAGAAAGAAAAAAGAAAAAAAGGAAAAAGAATGAAGGCTAAAAAGAGTTTGTGCAGATTGCAAAAAAAAAAAAAAAGAAAAAAAATGACACAGCAATCTTAATGCTCCTAACTAACTAATAACAGGCTTCAAAACACATGAAGAACAAGTGGATTAAAAACGGACCCGGTTCCACATGAGCTGCCAGAAACCTGGACACAAGCCGTGGCCGGTGTTCATGCCTCTCTTCAGGGTCTTCAGTGGAAGCCTCTTGCTGGTCCTGTCTTTGTACTCAAGTCTTCTCTCTCCCCTGCTTCTCTGCAACCAGGCTGGTTCATCTCAGCGCCCCGAACACCTGCTGGGGGCTGGGGGCTGGCACTCGGAATCTGTCCTTTGAAGGAGGCTGGGAGCTGCCCCTCCCCTACCTCTCAGACCTCCCCTCCTACCATTCACCCAGCCTGGACACTGTCCCGCTCAGGGCCTTTCCCGAGACCCACTCCTTCACCCTTTGACTTTGCTCAAATGCTACTTTTGCAGGGAGGTCCTCCTGAGCCCTCACCTCCACTCCCTACCTTCTTTCTCTGCTTTCTTTTCCTCCCTACCCTTTACCTCTATACATATTGTAGGCATTTTGCTTATTGAATGTATTGTTTCCCCACAATAGAACGGAAGCGCCCTTATGTCTACCTCTGTTTTGTTCACTGCTATATCCCCAGTGCCTAGAACAGGCCTGACATAGTAGATCAATGCATATTTGTTAGATCGAGAAAAAAAAAAAAAAAATCCAACTAGGGATGAACACCAGAGACCGGGACAGATAGAGGAGGCTGGACTTTCACCAAGTGTCTCTGGGCACGGCCCACCTCCCTGCAGACCCCTACCCCAGAGCCAGCCCACCTGCCCTCCTACAGGTGGGGGCCGGAGAACGCTGGCCCAGGGCCTTCTCCACCTGCCTTCCGCGAAGCGCACCCACCCCGGGGGCTGGGCAAGGACTGCCTCGAGGCGCGGGGCGGGAAGGCCAGGGGCCGAGCTTTCCTCCGGGCGGGCGGGGGGCCGAGTGGGGAGGGAGCCGGGTGAGGGAGGAGCTGGAGGAGGGAGCGAGGAGGAGCGGCGGGCGCGGGAAGGGGAGCGCGAAGGAGCAGCCGCAGGGCGCTGGGTGGGGCGGAGGCAGGTGCGGGATCTCGAGGGCGCGAGTCCGGAAGGGCCCCGGGGCGGCGGGCGGGCGGCCCCGGGAGCTCCGCGGGGGTCGCGGCGGAGACAAGGCGGCGGCCGCCGCGGGGAGATGCTGCGCAAGGAAGCTGATCGAGCGAGTACACCGGGTGTGCGCACCTGCGCGCGGGGCAGCGGGTAAGCGCTCCGGGCCGCGTGTTCCCCAGGGAGGGGGCGCGTCTGCAGCCGGGTCCCAGTGGCCTTCCGTGGGGAACTGGAGCCAGGAGCGGCGCCCCTCCTGGGGGCCTCGGAGCCCAGGGGTGTCACGCCTCTCTGTGCACTCGGATGGGCGCGCACCGGGGAGAGAGTCCCGGAGGACCTGCCCGGCCCGAGGGAGGCGACCGGGGGGTCGCAATCCAGAGCCCTGGGAGGGAAAGGAGGGCTGAGGCATCGCCCGGGGCGGCTGCGGAATCCCACGCGCGCGTTGGGGGTGCCCCGCGCCCAGGCGAGATCTGGAGGGGCAGGAGGCACCCCCCGGCCTGGTGCTGCGACGCCCCCCGACTGGCCCCGGGCGCCGAGGGAAACCGGGCGCTGCCCCCTGCTGGCCAGGTCCGGGCGCGGCGCCGCGGCGGGGCCGCCCCCCTCAGGAGAGAGTTGAAGGTCTGGTGTGGAGCCCTAGTTGGCTCCTGGCTGGGGCTGACCGGCTCTGTGACCTTGGGCAGGTCGCTGCATCTCTCTGAGCCTCAGTTTGCACGTCTATCAAATAGAGGGGAATTCTCTTGTTTGCGGGGTCCGTGGGAATAAGTGAGATTCCTGCTAGGTGCTTTTTCAGAAACTGAAAAGTTCTGTTTCCAACTAATCACATAATGCCAGAACTGGAAGGGCACTAAGAAATCTGCTTTATTAGAAATGCGGAGAGTGGGGAATCTGTCTTGCCCAAGGTCACATTACCAGTAGAAGAATCTGAAGTCCCTAGGTCTGGGAAAGTTCAAGGATTCAGAGCAGGACTCTCACTTAGGCTGGTTGCATTAGCAAACTAGCCTTGGCCACCTCCTAGCTGTGTGATCTCAGGAAAGCCCTTACCTTCTCTGAGGCTTGCTTTCCTTCCACATGAGGTGGGGATAACAATGCTCACCCCACAGGCTTACTGTACAAATCTAATGGGATTGTGGCTCAGCACAGCCCCTAGCTCCAAACAAGAGCTCAGCCACTAGTGGTCATCATTTCTCTGAGTAGCAGCAGCAGAAGCAGCAGAAGCCCCAGCCCCTCCACTCTTGCAACCAGCTTCCCGTGTTTTCCTGCAGTGTGGGTCTGTGCGGTCTCTGGATCACACGGCCACTTGCTAGGGTCTCAGCCCTCTTCACAAGGACATTTGAGGACATTTTATCAGTAGCAAGCAAGGCCACTGGGGTAACTGGCCTTTTTCAGTCTTTAGTCCTGCTCAGCTGGTGGGGAGAAGTAGGCAGGCTTTGTCATTGAGCTATCCAGGAAGCCGGGACCTAGAGGGTAGCTAGGAGGGAGGGACCCGGCCAGCTGGACTTGCCTGGCAGGGCCTAGGGCCTCTACCCCTACAACAACCTCCACAAGCACTTCAGGGGTCTGCTCTCAGACCAAGGCTTTGACCTCACGAACAAGTGAGTCCCAGTGTAGCCCCAGGGCAGAGGATGGAGGTCATGTATCTGCAGCCAGAGAAGACCCCAGCTCTAATGCTGGCTTCCCAGTCCCAGACCCACCTGCTGGCTCACCACCTTCCAGAACCTAATACAGGGCCAGAAATACAGAGATGCTTCCTCAGAGTTTGTCAGTTACCACATGGATCAATAACAAGGGCGGGTCCACTGGGCCATCCCTTCTCTCCTAGGCCACAGATGGATGACTGTTGTTTTTTGTAAGAGTGATGTGAATGTGAGCAGAAATACAGATTCTGAGAGCATGGAGTTCCCAAATCCAAGAGGCCTCTTTCATTACACAGATGGTTCCGATCTAAGGTCCACATTGGAGCAGGGGTCTGCCCAAGGTCAGCCATGTCTTCCAGGAAGCTGAATTCAGCAGACACCACTCAGTCTTTTTGTTTATTTGTTTTTGTTTTTGAAACAGGGTCATGCTCTGTCACCCAGGCTAGAGTGCAGTGGTGTGATCATAGCTCACTGTAGCCTCAACTTCCTAAATTCAAGTGATCCTCCTGCCTCAGCCTTCCCAGTAGCTGGGACTACAGGCATGCAACACCATGCCTGGCTAATTTTTGCATTTTTTGTAGAGACAGGGTCTCACCATGTTGCCCAGGCTAGCCTTGAATTCCTGAGCTCAAACAATCCACCCTCGTTGGCCTCCCAAAGTGCTAGGACAACAGGTATGAGCCATGGGGCCTGGCCTGCTCAGTCTTTCACTGCTCTCAGTTGCAGTTGACCCTGCTGACCATTTCTTCTCCCCAAAACACTCTTTTCTCTGGGCTCCTATGACTTGACGCTGTTACATTTTTTCCTCATCTTCTCTATTGTTTTTGCGGTTTCATCCCCTTTCTACAGTCCTTAGATGTCCAAGTTCTCTGCTCTTCTCCTAGTAGACAGTCTCCCTGGGTGATCTCACCCACCCCATTGGCTTTAGTTATCACCTCTATGTACATGACTCATACATGCACGTCTCCAGCCCAGATAGCTCCTTAGGCTGTTGACCCACCTATTTATTTTTAGCCAGGGACCATTCTAGGCCCTGGGGATAAAGGGATGAGCTAGACAGGAGGTGTGTGTTCGCAGGGCAGGGGCTGGTAGGGAGTAGGGAGTGTGGGAAGACACGCAATAAACAAACAGGCAGAAAATGTAAGGGCTGAAATGAGCATAAACCAGGGCAATGTGGTGGAGGACGGGAGCTGGTCAAGGTGTTGCCAAAGGGGCGATATTTAAGAGGGGTAGCTAGTAGGAGATGAGGTCAGAGGGGTGGCAGGGGTGGCAACAGATGGTGTAGGGCCTTGTAAGCCAGGAGAGTTTTGAATTTTATTCAGCGTGAAGTGGGAGCTGTTGGAGAACTGTATTTATTTATGTACGTCAAAGTCCGGCTTTGTCACCCAGGCTGGAGTGCAGCAGCGTGCTCCGGGTTCACTGCAACCTCTGCCTTTTGGACTCAAGCCATCCTTTTACCTCAGCCTCTGGAGTAGCTGGGACTATAGGCGTGCACCATCATGCCCAGCTAAGTTTTGTATTTTTTGTGGAGATGGGGTTTCACCATGTTGCCCAGGCTGGTCTTGAACTCCTGAGCCCAAGTGATCCTCCTGCCTCAGCCTCCTGAAGTGTTGGAATTACAGGTGTGAGCCACCGCATCCAGCCAAAAACTTTAAATGGAGAGGAGGAAATGCTGAACTTTCTCCAGGCCCTATTTGAGCCTTGCAAGAGAAGTTATTTCCTATTGTTTGCCAGTCTACTGTGCTCTGAACACGAGTGGGAAGGAAACAGGTAAATCTTGAAGGAGCTTCCAGCCATAGACAATAAGAGGCACAAACAAACCTGGAGTCAGGAGAGGGCTTCAAGGAGAGATTTTGCACTCAGTTGACCAGGGAAGACTTCCTGGAGGAGGTAGCTTTTGAAAAGGACCTTAGGAAGCAGAGAGAGTATGGTGGCTCAGACCTGTATCCCAGCACTTTGGGAAGCCCAGGTGGGCAAACTGCTTGAGCCCAGGAGTTCAATATTAACCTGCGCAACATGATGAGACCCCATCTCTAAAAAACAAAAGAAAAATTTAGAAAGCAGACAGGGGTACCATAGATATCTATGAAGGGGAATGGACAGGATTGCTCTTCCAGGCAGACGAAACTGCATGAACCAAGACACGAATGTCCTAAATATGTGTAGAGAAGACAAGGGAGAGAACAGAGAACATGTAGGAGAGTGAAAGGTCTGGCCTGTTAGAGAAAGGCCCTAGAACTTGCCATTGATGTGAGCCTCTGCTTCCTTTTTGGTTTTATGAAATAATTGGTTAAGCACTAGGGAAGAGAGTTAGGGATGGTTCAAATCTTGGGCTATGTGAGGAAGAACAGGATAAGGCCTGCTGCAGAAGAGGTGCTGGCCAGGCACGCTGGCTCACCCCTGTAATCCCAGCACTTTGGGAGGCCATGGCAGGCAGATTACTTGAGGTCAGGAGTTTGAGACCAGCCAACATGGTGAAACCCTGTCTCTACAAAAATGCAAAAATTAGCTGGATGTGGTGGGATGCACCTGTAATCCCAGCTGCTTGGGAGGCTGAGGTGCTGAGGTTGAGCTGCTTGGGAGGTTGAGAATCGCTTAAACCTGGGAGGTAGAGGTTGCAGTGAGTGGAGATCAAGCCACTGCACTCCAGCCTGGGCAACAGAGTAAGACTGTCTCGAGCAAAAAAAAAAAAAAAAAAATGGCACTCAGGAGGGCCTGCTGTAAGTGAGGTGGCTTGAGTTTGGGGCCCCTGTGGGACATCGAGGAGGGATGACCAAAGGATATTTGGGTCAAAGAAAGGTAAAACTGTCATTATTCTTTTTTTATTCATTCTTTGAGTAAATCTCAGTTTCTGCAAGTATTAAGCCTAAAATGTACAGCTATGAACAAAACTGTATCCCTGCCTTGGGAATCCATTATCTTGTGGGGAGACAGACCACAGGCATTGGACTGCAGGATAATGAGATGTGTATTACAAACCATAAACACAAGGCCCTGTGCTGGTGCAGAGAGAGGCTGGCTCCACTTGGGCACAAGGAGGAGGACAAGTTTCAGTAAAGAGGAGAGACAGTTAAACTTGGTCTTGAGATTGAAGTTGGAGTTGGATGGTGGGTAAGAGGGGAGGATACCCCCTCCACAGGGCACCGGGCTTCATGTCACGAGTTTCCCCTTCCTCCAGAACTCAAGTCCAGCCACGTTAGAGGGGTGGGATGACCAAGTGAACCCAGTCCAGGCAGTCCAGTGTGATGCATACATTACAAGGCCCGGGGGATGGAAAGAAGGGAAGTGATACATTCCCTCCCTAGTTACCAGGAAACTTCTGGAGAGGGCGGGAGAGATGAGCAGAAAGGCATTCCAGGTAGGGGGAATAGCCTGTGCAAAGGACTCAAGGAAGTGAGAGAACTGCAGTGGGTTTGCAGTCAGGTCTCAGCCAAGAGGTGGGCTGGAGGTGGGGTGTTTTGTTCAGTCCAGGTGAAAGGAGATTGAGAGGAAATGACTGGGCTGTGTGATCTCTGGATAGGA